TTGAAGGGTGAGGCAAGGAATCGATCCCATCATGGGAAGTATATATGTGGCTAGCTTGGACCTGGTGACCCTGGGAGCTTGTCCTGATCAAAAGGCGCCATCCGCTGATGAGGTGAGGGGGGTTCAAGACGTGACGAAGTACGGAAAATTATGGTGGATAGGCCTCGTCCACGGCGTCTTCATGTCGTTACGACCATGCTGAGCCATGACAGGGTTGCAGCTCGTCGCGCATGTATGCTCGCTGGCATTGGCAGTCGTTACTGATGAAGCCGTAGCCATTCGTCTTGTACGAGCACCTCAGGCACTTCTTCCAGCGCCAAACGTTTTCCCCCTGTTGGCCTCGTATGGAGAGCGCCGGATTGTTGATGATCATGGGTTTGGCGGCAACGACAACTGGCCCCTGGCGGCGGAGTACATGTAGAAGATCGAGAATGCCCTCTGAGCACTTCATGACGGACTAAAAGGCTGGAGGACATAAGAAAAGTCCGGCATGATATGCGCAGTGGGATGAGATCGCTTCGATCGCTCCAGATCTTGTGACTGGTGTCGAGCATACCTTTGCCGCCATCGTTGGTTTGATAGCTCCACTGACGATGCAGAAATGGTCTCGGGAGAGCCATGACAGTATCGTATCCGAGCATTGCGATCGCTAGACCAAGAGCGACGAGCAGCAAGTAGCAAGCAGCAACAAGCGGGGCTCGGGCATCAATGGGTGAACCAACCAGTGCCAGATTGCACGTTGCCGAAAGGAGGGAGGACCAAGACCAAGTCGGTGTTTTGGTGGCTTTCGTCCGGTGAGTCGTGGCTTTCCTATGGCGTTCCCATGGTTGACCTTGACCAAGAAGCCTCTCGACCAAGAAAGCCCTATACCTTGCAAAGACTGAAGACTTACACTTTGAGAAAGTTGGCTGGGATCAGAATAATATTCGCGAGGTCATCGTGAGGCTGGCCCGTGGCCCTTTCGTCACAATCGAATGTATGAGCGGGCGCGATGTTCCCACGCCATCCCAACCTTCGATCCTTCTCTGCCTATTGAGGCGTCTCAACACACCCCAGAAAGGGACTGCAAGGACTTTGCAGCATCAGGGCACGGCTGCCCATGGTCCTCAGGCAATTAAGGTACTTGTAGAACATGGAGGAGAAAACGCGAGAGGGCGCCTCCAAAGCGGCAGGGCAAGCAAGCCGTGGTGGTCCGTGTCCTCTTGCACCGGATCGCCTGCATCGCAGCCGTTTCTCCCGCGTGGTCTGTGTGTCTTTTGGCTCCTCGTTTTTCCGCTTCAACCACCTTCAACCACCCAGCTTGCCAGGATCCGGGGGGCATGCCTCCTCGTCGCTGGAGCGGCCGGGGGAACATCATTCGTAGCAGTTGATAACCCTCATCTCTCGAGGTGGTCTGTGAGGCGCAGAACAGGGCCAGGGTTAAGCCGCTTTCGAGCCTTGGTCCTCCTGCACCCCACCCACCTGTCGAAACAAGTGAGTGAGCGAGGAGCGCGCTGCATTTCCCGACCCTGACTTGAGCTTGCTGATCCCGACGAAGCAGGCCCTGGGGCTCCGACGCCGTGACCAGCGCCGTTCCCACTAAACGCCAGAGCAGGGCCAAGCTCCATCGTGAGCTGCATGGTGTTTGGCCAAAACCCGCTCACTATCGACTGCTTCGCCAGTCGAAGCGGCCGATGGGCTCCCAACCTCGCTCGAATGAGTTGCGATGAGATCACGGTTGGCACAGCCAGGAGTGAAGAGACAGGCGGAGAGCTGTAGCGACCCACCAGACACCCGATGACGGTGTGCCGCCCCCTCTTCAGCCCCCCCCCTGGCGCAGGCCCTCGGCGGCAAGAGAAGTCTTCTGAAAGGTCGGTCTAAGAGGGCATGCGTGAGAGGATCGAGCCAGCAACCGTCACTGGCTGGAAACTTTCCGACAAAAACTAGGCCCGTAGTGAGACTTCATCCGCTCAGTAACCAAGCCAGCCGGAGCCAGACAACAACAGAGTGTCCCGGGCTCTGTCCTGTTGGAAGGGTCAAAACACATGATTTCTCAGCCGCGAAAATGACACGTCCAGAGAAGATTGAGGCGGAGGTCGTGCAATGTCGTCAGGCGTTTGTTTTAAGCGCCCGTGTCTGGAATTTGCCGGCCTCACCCCCATCTCGCATGCGGCCGCGACGGCGGCCTCTGCATCACAGCTTGCATGCATCCCTACGCCGTTCGCTGGGACTCACAACTCGTGAGGGTCGCATGAGGAGAGACCCTCGGTTATGCATGTTGGCCATGACTTTTCGACCACAGCACGAGGAGAAATACCGTGACCTGAACATTGTGGCGTCTGAGGCGCATTCCGCACCACGCTTTTCGTTCGTTCAGTTCTCTGATCCGTATGCAGGGGACGAGTGCGTGATCCGCGAGCCGGGCTTTAAGGACAGGAACTGTATGCGACGCAAATTTGAGTCATGGTGGGAGACTATGGCGAATCCGCTTGTTTGTTCAATTCCCCCCAGATGCATGTTCTCACGTCATCTCTGGGTAAACGACATCTACTGTTCGATCGTGCTCTTTCGCGTCATCGAAGCTGCTTCGTCTGCTTGACGGACACAACACCATCCGTGCGCCAGTCCGCCTCGATTGCGAGAGTTGTCTTGGCGCTGTCCTCTCGTCAGCCGTCCCTCATAAGCTCAAAGGCGGCGCGGACAGACTGGTGTGGTTCCTGCCTGGACATTACCGCTGCGCCTCGAGACCCTCCCTTGCCCCTTCAACACGAACAGCCACCGGGGCCTGCAGTCTTTGCTCAGGCTCACGTCCTCAACATGGAAGTAGCTTTGTGCTTCAGCTTGGAATAGCTGGCGATCCTCCGCTTTCTGAGGTGGTGAATTCCGGGTCGTACTATCACCACTGTCTTCCATGACATTTTGTGAAGTGTCTCAACGCTTAACAATCGTCACTAATCCACAACTGTGTCAGTGGAGGTGATCTGGGAGAAGTTGGTAACCGCGAAGGGAGAAGGGGACGAACCAATGTCCTCATCAGCTAGCTCGTGGGACAGACCAACACGCTGAGGTTGGTGCTTGCAGGATTTGCCATACACGATAGCGTTTTTGAACTGCTCAACGATACTTCGGTGAATGGCGTTGCACTGGATATGTTCAGTCAGTATTGCTGGCACTAGAACAACCAAGTACTCTGTCCCGAAGACCCCAAGGTGGTTCAACAACTTACGAAATCCTCGACAGTGCACCTGTTCGACCGAAGCACAACGGGCTGGCTGTAATCTGGCATCCTTCCTTTTGGCTTCGTGTAAACGCGCACAAGGTTCAGTTTGTCCCACCTAGAGCATTGGTGGTTAGCACAGTCTTTCGCGCTGCCACTTCTCCGTCTATCGACCTCACACCCAGATTCGGACTAGAGAGTGATCACAGGCCAAGGGTGCAGCTCAACAAAGAAAGGGGGAGGGCTCACATGGCTTCCATCAGTTCGTCGACATTCCACCCGTGCTCTGAGCTGATCGGCACAGCGTTCGGGATACGGTACAGAAGGTCGAGCTCCTCGATACTGATGGCGTCGATCTTGTTGAGGACGTAGACGACGGGGATATAACTCCGGCTCTTGGCTTCTAGAATATCAATGACATCGTCGATGGTGGCGTCGCATCGGATAGAGATATCCGCAGAGTTGATCTTGTACTCGTTCATGACAGCCTTGATCTCTTCGTGGGTGATGTTGTTCAGAGGCACCGTGTTTGTAATGTTGAGGCCGCCCTTCTCCTTCTTCTTGAATGTAATGTTAGGAGGAGACTTGTTAATACGGATGCCGAAGCCCTCGAGTTCCGTCTCAATGACACGCTTGTCCGTCAGGGGCTTGTTGACGTCCAGGACGATGAAGATGAGATGGCACGTCTTCGCCACTGCAATAACTTGACGACCACGTCCACGACCGTCCTTGGCACCCTCGATGATACCTGGTAAATCAATGATCTGTAGAGGAGCACCTATTTCAAAAATCAGGAACACGTCCGTGCAAATCGAAAGGTCAGGCGCAAGCGGCAATCGCCGGCCGATATTCTATGCTCACCATTGTAGACGACTTGGCCAGGCACCGAGGTTAATGTCGTGAACTCGTACGCCGCAGCCTCGGAATGCTGTCCTGTGAGCCGGCTCATCAAGGTACTCTTTCCCACGGAAGGGAAGCCGATGAATCCAACACTGGCAACACCCGTCCTGGCCACATCGAAGCCCGCGCCGCCGCCACCACCACCGGACGATGGCGTGAGCAGCTCTCGCTTGAGCTTCGCCAGTTTGGCCTTCAGCTGACCGAGGTGAAAGGAGGTCGCCTTGTTCTTCTGAGTCTTGGCCATCTACAGATTTCCATTAGTTGCTGATGGCGGTAGTGGGTCCTTGTCGAGAATAGACGTACTTCGGCCTCGATCTCCTTGATCTGTGTTGCGGATGGTCAGCCATTGCTCCAAGCAGCCCAGAGAAGCCTGCCTACCTTGTCCACCGTTGTCGACATCTTGGCGGTGTTCCCTGCTCCTCTGTTTCTGTGTGTCTCTTTTTCGATGTGGCGCTGCTCCCGATTGCAGTGTCGCGATGGCCGTGTCTCTGAAGTAGCTGCTGTTGCGGTCTGCGCGCGATGGGAGGATTTCAAGAAGTTTGGATCTTGGTGGGGTTAAAATTTGGCGGGGTTCGACTTTGCCGAAGTTTCATTGGTGCACCCTGTGATGTCACTGGTCTTTACCCACCCGTGGCCACACCGAGCCCTGGTTCGGTCAGCGAAAGGGGATGGCTCAGTTTCGGTGTCTGATTGTTCGTTCGCCCCCCCCCCCCCCCCCCCAAAAACATGGAAGGGGCGCCTCAATATGTCACCGATCAAATTAATAGGAGCACAATCCGTCGCGAACATCTACGACAAGGCTTTCACTGCTGGGATCTGCGCTGGTAAACCAAGTTTGAAAGTGGCAATGATACAAATGGCATACTAGGACGTACGACGAAAGACACATGCACATCAGTTTAATACAGTAAAAAAAGTGTGTTTCGTTGGCTACATAAATCAAGACAAACGCATTGCATGTCTGTCACTTTGCCCAACTCCATGGAACACTATGAAGTCGCTTCGTCGAATGGTACAACAGCCCGACAGGAGAGGATGGCAACACAACTGCCATTTCCGCTCCAGTAATAAGCCAGAGTGTCTTTCCGATGCTGCGAAGCCATACATATATTTGCAACACCATGAGCACCTGCCCACTGCCCAGTGCACAGCGTCCAAACGTTTCCGTGTCATTAAAGAAAAGCCTCTTGCAGGGAGAGGAGTGATGATTTCGAACCAAAGCTTGAGCTTCAGGGCTACTGCTGAGTGATCGTACTTCATTATCGTCAAGGTCAGAGCAGACGAGATCAGTCATGTATATGATTTCGCACCCCTTGATCAGGCAGGGTTCGTTTCCTGATTGCCGTGGGTACCATTCACCAACTGCGATTGGCTGTCTGACTCCAATGTGGTTGAAGAAACCACAGTTGGCCGCGCGGTGTGGTCATCGGGCACACTGTCGATATCGGTAGTTTGACTAATTGGCGAAGGGTGCACGCCATTAGGGATGGAGGGAGAGGGACTCTTGCGAGCATTGACCAGGTGCCCTAGGCCCTGTGCAAAGCAGAGCTTCGCATAGTCAGGCTCTCCAGGGAAAACCTGTTGGAGCCCATTGCGTCTTGGAACACGCCTCTCGTGATCAGGAAACGGCACCTTGCTTGTGGCTGCGAGACCTGGAAGGTCTTCTGCAACCTTTTGTGCGTTGACGTAATATGTGTTGCGGGGAGCGAACCCCATGAAGCGCTCGGATCCGGGGTCTTGTCTATATCTCCTTGGCGTTTGATAGGCACGCTCTTGTGCTTCATCTTCTGGGATTTCTCGATATTCGACACTGAGTCGAAAATCTTGAAGATGAGCGATGGTAGGGATGACACTAAGAAAGTCCGAGAGCTGCAGGTTTTGGTTAGCAAGTGACTCAGGGGAGACAACGGGTCAATGAACGTACCTTGACCAAGAACATGTCCATCTTGAAGAACTTGGCTTGCGCATCCCTGCGGAGTTCTCCCAGCACAGAAGAACCTACCACACTAGCATCCTGGCCTTCACCATAGTAGTTTGGCAGTTCAGCACCGAGATCGCGATACTTGTGCGAAGTGAGGGCGTACTGATCTGCTTCCAGTCTCCAGAAGGCCCTTCTGACGAGGTCGGGTTTTGCGAGGTCCGTGACGAGCAGGCGCTCCCATGAAGGGTCTAAAATTCACAATCAGATCGATCCTTGGCATCAAGCTTTGAAATCAGGGAAACTTACACTTGCCTAGGCGGAGATCCTTCTCGCCTAGAATGAGGGCAACCTGGAAATTGAAAACCCACTGCGCTCTGCCCTCGGGAGTGCCCACGGCTTCAGGACGCACCGTGTCGTAACGAACACCCTGAATATGCTGGAACCTTGAAGCGATGTCCAATGTGCAGGGATCGGCACATTGATCCAGCCAGCGGAGGAGCGGAGGAAGTTCCAGAGCACGTCGTTTTCGTTCTTCGTCTTCGCGAGCTTGGCGTAGCGCTGCCTCACGAGCTTCACGCTCGAGTCTGTCCCTGTCCTCACGCTCTCGTCGCTCTTGATCCTCGAGCGCTTTGCGGGCTTGCTCCTCTTTCTCGCGACGGGCTTGCTCTGCGGCCTCACGCGCAAGCTTTTCTTGACGGACGCGCTCTTCCTCTCGTTGCTTCTCTTCCTCTTCCTCCTTGCGCCTTCGCTTTTCGTCTTCGATGCGCTTGCGTTCCGCCTCATCACGGAGACGTTGCGCCTCGGCCTCTTCCCGTTGTTTCTTCTCCTCGGCCTCCTTGGCTTCAGCCTCCCGCTTCAGACGTTCTTCCTCAGCAAGAGCTTCGGCGATCCTCTTGTCCTCTTCAGCCTTGCGCAACTTCTCTTCCTCAGCCAGCCGTCTCTTCTCCTCTCTAGCTTTACGTCTCTTTTCTTCTTCCAGACGTTGCTTGGCCTCCTCTTCCTCAACCAGGCGCTGCTTCTCAGCCTCACGCTCACGGGCTTCACGCTCATCGCGCCGTTTCTTATCGGCTTCCTTTTGCCGTTCTTCTTTTCGCCGTGCGTCCTTGGCTTCAACATCTGCGTCCCGTCGTCGTTTCTCATCATCCAGTTCCTTCGGCGCCTTCGGGGGAGGGGCGTCTCGCATATCGACATCGACATCCTCGGACTTGACATGGATGCTCGATTTGTCGCTGTCACTGTGCCTGGTATGGTCCTTGCGATGTGAATCGGTGTCACTGTTTGGTTTCAGTGTTGTCCTTTGTCCATCACCATCGGTCTCCCGAAGCGAAGCTTTGGGTTTTGCGGAACCGTCTTGGGTCGAGCGAGATCGTTCGTCAGCAGAATCGGCTGCTCTTTGACGCCGTTCCTTGCCTTCCGTGTCGAGTCGCCTTCTCTTAGCAGGACCCTCGGCGTTGTCCCTGTCAGACTTGCTGGAGTGTGGTGGTGTGACACTTGAGCGGTGCCTCTTGGAAGGAGGCTCGCCGGACCCCGGCAACCTCTCGCGAGACTCGTCCCTCTTAAGAGCCTTGGTCCTGTCATGGTACTTCTCGGTGAGGAGCTCAGGCTTCGGCCTTTCGGCAGTCTCATCATGTTTCGGATCTCGAGGGCTCGCAGGGTCCTTGACGGAGGATGTGGTCGACACCATACTGGCTCGGCGTTGCTTGTCTCGTTCACCACGGAGCTCGCCCTTTGAGACCAACTTCCTACGTGGCTTGACGGTCTCACCCTCTGACGATAAGGCCGCCATATCTGATTCGATCCTCTTCGGCTTCGAACCGAGCTTTTGTGATGTTGCAGGAGAGGCCTCACGGTCTGAAGCTGCGACGGCTGGCAAGCGTTCGTCTTTCTTGAGCTTTGCGGACCCGCGTTTGGGAGAAGTCTGCTCGTCTTGGTGGGTGAAGGAGTCTGATCGTCGCTTTTCCTTCGGGCTTGTAATGGCGCGACTGGGAACCGCCTTTTTCCTGGGTTCGCCGTCGCGTGTGGGGCTCGACAGGTTTCGCCGCTGGGGCACAGGCTCTTCCTTGACCAGATTCCTTCCTGGTCGTTTCGAATCCTGACCACGTTTGCCAGGTGATTTCGTCTTGCCGTCGCGAGGGGATTTCTTATAAGCGTCGAAGGCGTTTTTTAAGATTTCCTCCTCCTCCTTCCAATTGGTGCCCTGTCGTTGTTGAGCAATCTGGTAGTAATACGAGCCGCGGTACTTGCGTGTCGGATCAAAGTTTGCCTGGCTTAAGAGAAGTTTGAGGACATCAATGTTCTCTTGGCCGATGGCAGCCAGCATTGGCGTTGCGAACTCGCTTGGGAGGCTCGAGACTGGGGCCGGATCAGGGTTTGCGCCACCAAGCGCCAACAGCAGCTCCATGACCACGCTGTGGCCACCACGTGCAGCCGCCACCATGGCCTCAGGGTCGTCATATCGCTCCTTGACTTGAAGAACTCTCGTAACGGTCTCCTCGTCACCCTTGGCAGCTGCCGCCCTCAATGTCTTCTCGTCAAGGTTCACATAGAGATGGTGATTGCCAATCTTGGTGGCCCGCGAGTTGACAGGGCGGCGACTCGTGGGTGCTGGTGAACGACGGGGGCTGTCCGGTCCATGTGATAGTTGGTCTGGCTGGTCCGCGTGGTGGTGTTCTTCTGAAGTTCGTCGGAGGTCGCTGGATTTCTGCTTCGCTTCAACAAGCGCAGCTCGTATCTCTTCCGCGTTGTCCAGATCATCGCTAATCCTGTCTAAAGGCTCTTCTCCCTCCAGATTCGCCTTGCGCGGGTTCACGCCAGCCGCAAGAAGAAGCTTCACGACCTCAAGGTGTCCATTGTCAACAGCGTCGAGCAGAGGCGTATCTTTCACAGAGTTCATGCAGTTGACATCGCATCCGGCCTCGATTAGTAGCTTCACAATATCCTCGAAACCGTTGATGGATGCGCTTTGCAGCGGGGTGTTCCCGGCGTAATCGGCTACGTTGAGGTCGCCTGGTCGCTCCGCCAGTCTCTGCTTCGCGATATCATACTCGCCCTTGTTGCAGGCGCGAGCAAGAGCAGTTTGCCCATGCGCATCAACGTGCTTCTTGGACTGGGTCATTTTGGCGGGCGACATGTTGAGGTCTGCTGTCGCAGGCGTTGACAAGTTTCTCATCTTTGAGCTTCGCGGATGAGGGCTGCCGCTGGCCGAAGATTCGTCAGAGTGGTATTCAGTTGATCGAAGGGGAGGCGGGAGCCGCCTCTTCTTCTGACTCAAGCCGTTTGAATGTTGAGAGGGAAGTTGCGATGAGATGCTCCTCCGATGAGTACGCGCTGGAGGAGAGACAGATCGGCACTGGCTGTCGTTCCGCCATCTCGAGGAAGCAGATTTCGGGTCTTTTTGCTGTCCCTTGACGCCTTCTTTGGGAGCAAGCCAGTCGGCGCGATCTCGATCTTCGATCCGTCGGCGACGAGCAGCTTTACGCTCCTCTGGGTCTTCTTCTGATCCAACCCTGGACGCCTTGCGCTTGTGGGACACCAGCTGGTCGGAGGACTTGGCTCTGTCCTTCATGGAAAGCTTGGGAGATCGTTTTCGCCGGTCGGCGTCAGACTCGGAATCGTGAGCGACAGGGCCTGTTCGTCTTCGGTGGTGAGGGGGCGAGGTGGGGGCAGAGCTGAGGCCGCTTGATCCTTCCTGACCTTTCAAAGGTTTATCGGGTCGAAGCGTGTCTTTGTCAACGCGGAGCCTCTTCTTGTGTTGTGTCAAGGCAGCCGCTGCGTCGCTGACAGGTGGCGGCCCGCCCTGCCCAGCGTCGCCGTCTCGACTCGACCCGTTGCCACTGCGCTTCCTGCCACGTTGTACCTCGGCATCGCTCCCGTCCTCGTGCTTTACCTTTCTCACCTTGGATGGCGAGTGACCATCCTTACCAGGCAGCACGATGGTCTCGGCATCTGAGTCACGGTCGCCTGAGGCGGCATCGTCGTCTGCATCCGCGGGGCGTGGGGGGTTGAGAACCGGCTTGGAATCTCTCGTGGGTGACGGAGCGGGATTGGAGGGGCCGTCGGACGAGGAAAACTTCGAGGCCACCTTTACGCTCGCATTCTCGTCAGGCTGGGGCGTCGATCGTTGTTTGGGTGATGCGGCAGGCTTCGTCTTGTCGGACCCGACAGCATCTTGCGCATCCATGGCATTTATCTGAGGCCCGAGAGACTTGCTAGCACCATCCTGGCCACGACTTGGCCACGATCGAGAGGTGTAAGACGCGCTGGGATTGATTCGCGGCGATGGTGCGCAGGTCTACCGGTCGCTCCAGGAGGCGGAGAAGCAGCTAATCAGTACCAGGTCGTCGGGAGGTCGCAATGGGGAGGAGAGTCGTCGAAAGTCGGCGGTGCGCGATCAGGAATTGAACAAAGAATCGCCTACGCAAGGAAAAGAACGAGTTTTCGATGGTCGCTGAACGGTGGATTGGAAAAGGCGTGAAAGATGTCTATGGTGATGCTGGTTTGGGGTGAGGCAAGGATGGGTCTCGCGAGTCTTCAGTGCTGTGTTCAAAGTCTGCCCGCCTCCGGTTTGATTGGCCCCAGTGCCGGAACCAGGGGGGAAAGCGTGAGGGGGGGCCGGGTGTCCTTGTTGTGGTCGTAGACTGTGCCATGCTGCCTGGCGTGGACTGATGAACCTAGCTGCTCGGTCTCAGCATCATCCTGCTTTGATTATGACTCCCAGCCTCCTTTCCATCTGTCCCCTTATCTTCTCTGAATCCCGAATCCGACGCAGCACCAAAACTCGTTTCTACCCCTCGTCCTGCATTCAGGGGAGCCTCCATCTTGCCAAAACTTTACCGTGGCATGCCCGCCACCCGACAGGCCGTCTTCCTGGTTTTGGGGGGGGCCGGGACCCTCTTTCCCCCTAAAAACACGGTCTCGATAGAAGCCAGTTGGGAATCCATGTCTCGGGCCTGGGATTTCATTACTCATCGAATCGCTTCCAGAAGGGCTTGTCAAATGAACCAATAGGACCGCGTCATTTGCTTTGGATGCAAACAAACCCACCTCCTCACCAGGCTCCAGCAGGTCCTCTTTCAGATCCGGCACCAGCGCCACATCCAGCAGCTCGAAGGTCACGAGTCGGGAAGGCAAGGCAGCGCGACTCCTCTCATCTTAGTCCTGTCCTCGACCCCGATTACAGCCGCAAGGCACGTACAACCACGTATCCTTCGCCGCCATGACCTTACAACCCCTGCCATCTCTGGCTGAGGCCAAAATCACAACGCTGCCAGCATCTGCTTTCTACATCCCAAACTTCTTGTCCGAGGAAGAAGAGGCCAGCATCCTGCAAAAGGTACTGGTGGCGACGACATGACTTGAACAGCCAGCCCAGAACAAGCTGCTGACTGCCGAAAGATCGCAGAAGCGCCGAAACCGCGGTGGAAGCAGCTTACCCACCGTCGTCTGCAAACCTGGCCGTCCGATCTTGTACACGACAAGCTCATTGATGCCCCTCTGCCTCGTTGGCTCGAGACGCCCATCGTTACTCGACTTTGTGACCTACGTCGCTCCAACGACGATGCTTCCGACAGCTTGTTTTCCGACAGCCCCCACAAACGACCGAACCACGTTTTGATCAACGAATACCCCCCTGGAGTGGGTATCATGCCGCACAAGGCAAGTCTAGGGTATGTTGTTGCATATACGCAGGAGTACTCATGAGACCAAATACAGGACGGATCTGCCTACCACCCGGTTGTTTGCACAGTCAGTCTGGGTGCAAGCTTGTGCCTGAATCTCCATCAGAGCAAAGATGACGGTGCCTTGGACCCGAAGCCTATTTGGCGAATCTTGCAGGAGCCGCGGAGCCTTTTGATCACGACTGATGCGCTCTACACCGATTATTTACATGGCATCGCGGACCTTGAGCAGGACGTGGAACTCTCGGCCGACACAGTCGCAAACTGGGCCCTGCTGGGATCCCCGGAAAGCTTCAGCGAGGGCCACAACGTACGCGCAACTCGCACGAGCCTCACATACCGAGACGTAATGAAAGTCTCCAAGCTGGGGTCTAGGTTTGGATTTCTTGGAGGGCGTTGAGACAACCCATCTCTTTGCTCAAGTGAGTATCAAAAGATAAAGGGGATCATCTTCCACTTGGGCGCCACTCTTGCCTCGCCAAACTTTTCGGAGTACCATTTCTTCGTACCGTGGGCTGTGCTGCCGAGGTTGACAACGACGAACCAGAGGCCACAGATGAGTGTACGATTAAACCACCGTCCAGATGGGGCTGCGGCCATGGCGAGTCCGCCGTAGACGAGACACTCGCAGGTGTAATGAGCGCATACGATGTGCCTGAATAGTCCCTGTTCAGGCAAGGTGTACTTCTTCAGACTGGCCAGATACTGGTGGCATTTGTGCTGCTGCAACCATCCTGTGGTAAAGATGGCAATACCCACGAGTTGGGAGGTTGAGAAGCGGCTTGACACTGCAGTGTCTGCCTCGGAATGCAAGAGTGAACCTGCAGCATGGTTAGTTAGTAGCTAGCTGGGGTGCCATGCGGTAGAACTTACGTGATCCTTCGATCCAGATCGCAACGCTCATATCAAGATAATAAATCAAGCCCAAAGCCCAGTGACCTAGCCACATCTTTGAACGGGACGGCTTCATGACATAGAAGCATTCGAACAGTCTGCGTCCACCTTGCAGAGCCATCAAACTCCATACCAGCCAGACCTGTTCCTTCCCCATGGAAGGGCCCTCCACAGCTGCCTGCTTCGTGATTATTGCCAATAACAAGGACCTGCCAGCGAAATACTGATATGCCCAAAAGGCAGATGCCGCCACGGACGCGGCGTAAAAGTGATTGAACCACGAGTGCGGCACCTGCACCGCCGTGACGAGCCGGACACTCGTGTATAGCCAGTCTGTTCGGTCTCCGGGAGCGCCATGCTTGGCTTGTGTTGCGCGAGGGCCATAGTCAAGGAGCAGGGATTGAGAGGCCTTGGGAATCAGTTGGACAGATAGCGCGGTGATTGTTGCGATGGCGAAGAAAGCCTGACACCATTGCGAGGGGGCTGTATACGTTATGATAGCAGCAATGATCTCTAGCAGTGGCGCCGGTAGTGCCATGTTGGGTTTTTGATTCAGGGGGTAATGGGCTGTAAAGTCGCTGGAGTTGCCCAGATTGAGGTTGAGGTTGAAATTGGAGCTTGAAATCCCACGTGTTGACTACAGTGTGTTGGTCTATGTACACTGTAACGGCGCAGCGTGGCTCCGCCCCGTGTACAGTGTCCAAATGTCGTCGCACTGAAGCAATCACTGTTGCAAATATCTCGGTCTCCGCTACATCGATGGCGAAGTCTTCAGGATCTTGGGCTGCGGTTTCCTGTGTCATGTGTAGAAATTCATTCAGACATTCCATCATACTGAAAAGCGAGGACCTCGCGAGGTGGCGGGTAATGTTCTTAATATGCATCAGCAAACGTGGCTCGAAGAAGAACGACAACTCGGCGGTGTTCTTGTCGTGACCCGCAGAGCTCTTCCACCAAACGTTTATACGGCGATTTTAAAGATGAGAAGGCTATATCAAGCATAGAACTTGAGATAGTGGCCACCAAAAAAGAAGGTGTAGATACAAGCGAGACTCTGGTCATCGGGGCTAGACTCTGTATTGGGACCACTCGACTGGGTTCTCGAACATGCGCCTTGAGGCGATTCAACTGACCTGCCTAGTTACATCAGGTACTTACCTAAGGTAAGGTAGGTAGATAGGGTAGGTAAGGTACCTTACGGTAGGAACCTTAGGTGGCAATTGAAGAACGAGGACAAGGCAAGTGCCGCTTTGAGTTGGTCAATCCTTCCGATCTAAATACTCAAAACCACTGGGCCATCTGCCATAGGAAGTGACAAAAGTCCTCTCCTTAAGAATTACCTTACCTCACATCTCCTTTGAATTCATGAACGCATCTATCTCTCGACCCCTATGCCTCTTATATCGTTATCCTAGGACACGTATCATCCGATGGCCAGCATAAGATTCCCTCCCAAGAGACTCATTGTCTGCTGCGATGGAACATGGTTCAACAGCGACGACGGATACAACAAGCCGATTTTTGGCAAGAAAAGAGGGGCTTTGCAGGTCCCCTCCAACGTCACTCGCATCTCGAGATGCTTCAAGCGCACGTGCGACGATGGTCGTGTCCAAATTATCAACTACCAGTCTGGTATCGGTACCGGAAGCAACACGGCGGACACTTTGATCGGTGGAGCCTTCGGTTCAGGCATCTCCATGGTAGAGAAGGGCCCATCTATGAATGCATGTTTGGCCTACGCTCCTCTAACATGCCGAGCAGCGAATCAAGGAAGCCTATAGTTTCCTGGCTGCCAACTACTTTGACGGCGACGAGATCATTCTCATCGGGTTCTCACGTGGCGCTTTCACGGCTCGCTCGGTAGCGGGAATGATCTCGAAGCTAGGCCTTCTGACGCGCGAGGGTGTCGAGATGTTCTACCCCATTTTCAAGGATATGCAGCACTGGAAAAGCCCTCAAGGTGGAAAAAAGTACAGGGATAAGTTCCCAGACAAGCCTTTCAGCAACAAACCGCATGGAGATGGCGCTGCCGAAATCTACCGAGCCAGACTAGAGGCTGTACTCTTGAGCCAACCCTACAGTAAAGACTTTACTTGCTGACACTCAGCAGCTTGGCCTTACACGAGTCCGGCAGAACAAGGGCACCGGAGATCTAATCAAGGTCAAGGCCATAGCCTACTAGGACACGGTCGGTAGCCTTGGGGTCCCGCGAATCGCCCTCCTGAACAAGCTTCACGAACTTGGCATATCCTTCAGGGACGATATGTACCACTTCTGGGACACGAATCTATCAGTACAAATCGAGCATGCGTTTCAGGCTCTTGCCCTCGACGAGACACGGTCCTCCTTTCAGCCTGCCGTCTGGGAACGTCTGGAGTGCAACCGCAGTTCGACTGACTTGCGACAAGTTTGGTTCGCCGGTAGTCACAACAATATCGGCGGAGGAGAGCTTGATCAAGCGATGGCTGATATCACACTTGCTTGTCGGTGCCGTGGAGTAATGCATAGCCGAAGAGCTGCTGACAGATCTCAGGGATGATGGACCAACTTGCGTCTGTCAACGTTGAGTTCGACGAAAAGTGCCTCGAGCGTGTGGTCGCTAAGTCCATGACGTATTATGCAACTGACACTGCGACAATCAAGCGTCCCTGGGCGAACATCCCGATTTATCATGACGGCAGTAAAGTCCGACCATGGGCCCTCGGGACAATTTACCGTGCTCATGGCCTCGTATGGCGCCTCGCTGGCCGAAGCCATCGATCTCCTGGCCTCAATCACGCCACAGACCCTCGAACGGGACGACCAGGCAAAGCATGGCTTGAGGACACAAACGAGCGTGTGCACGCATCGGTGAGGGTGCGTTTAGCATGCGGTGGCACGGATGTTGATGGCAAGACCATCTGGGCCTGCCCTGCACTCGCCGGCAGGTGGAAATTGGCCAGGCGGAGCGACTTACGTTCGACGGAGGGGGCCCCAGAGTCGGAGTCGCAGTTACGATCGCACTGGGTATGGACTTATGTCGGCAATGAAGAACCACCCGAGACGGTCCTGTCAGAGGAGCCAATGGGAATATTCGAAGAGCAGTTGCTGGAGTTGATGGCAGGGAGGAGTGTGTGGGAGTACGCCGAACATGCTTCCCCTGTCGACGAGAAGCATTGAACGACCTCACTTCCTCCTGAGCACCTTGCCCAGAACATGCCTGGAATATCGACTTTACCTAAAATATAATGTGTGGTCTAACAAGACTGCTTTGATAGCTCATTAGATTGACGCACACATGATGACAGTAGTTGAATAGACTTCATCAGCCGCAATCACCCCTATTCCGAAGGACCATCCCCGAAGCGTGAGAGTACAGCCCCATCAGCCCCCCTGACCCTTGGAGCTGACCTCAATCACCGGAGACTTTCGACACTCTGGGGCTGGAAAAAGAACCATAGCCCGAACTCGTGTATGCCGCCCACCAGGCCCAGGCTAAGAACGTGCCTCGTGATGTCTCTTGATTTCTTTTTTTTAACTACTCGAGTCCAGCCCTACGAAGCAGGCTTGTCCGTGCTTACTCGGCCGACACCCTCCAGCATGTCGAGCGGAATACGGGGTATGTCGTCATCCAAGCTCTCTGACTGCTGCTTGAGCCCATTCATGCATCAATAGACACAGGATCCGAGGAATATTGCAGTGCAGGACTCCAGAAGGCTCGTTTTCACGCAAGGGGAAAAGGGGGAAGCTATTGGAAGTACATGTATCCCTGGCTGGAGAGTGGACAGGTCAGCAGGGGCAATTCCCAAGGGCGACGAATGGCGGGCTGAACCACGAGGGTTTACGGCGTGGTGTAAGCGTTGCACTAGTGGGAAAGTCGTGGATTTGATGAGAACAGCGGCTTCCGCTTTCGGAACAGCGGCCGCATTAGACGGACCTGTCAATGTTGAACATGATCCATGTGCAAATTCTGACAGCTTTCCTGACGTCGAAAGGGCCATGATGCACATCATAATTCATGTTTGATTGACAATCGTGCCATGTCGGACGAGATCATCCAAATATGTCCTCCTCAAACGGTCTGCATAGCGTCTCAAATGAGAGCCACTCCACTTCTCCTGAGTCAGCGCTGCCGTCTGACCACGCGCCCGCGTCGTCGAGGCGAATATCCTCCGGATACGGTAGCGTTGGGTACCACATCCTACCATCGACAGGCTGCGGCGTGTACGCCTCGCCAGCTCTGCAAGAAGCGATGGCCGATCTCATAAGAGTTCTGATGTATGGGAAGAACCACATGCGCGGCCAAAATGTCTCCAGCGCATCCTTGGCGCCTGTGCAGTGATAAATTGGCAATGTCGTCTTCGTGATGATGTTAGAGCCAAACTGCGACTCGAGAATGAGCTTGTCTGACGTCTTTCCCATGAGGGTAGAGCGTTTTGTAGAGGCGAATATGCGGTGGATTGCACGCATGGCGTCTCCGGCAAGGTGAAGGTCCCATGGTCTGAATGTGACCTCGGCCCGAACGTTCTGGTCCACGGTAAAGGCGTGACCGGGTCTATCAAACGTGCGCCAGTCCACGTATTCAGTGTAGCCGGCCCATGTCTGGAAGAGATTGCTCCAGTAGTCGATAGCGATGTGATGATTGGACTCGGGCCCGGGCTTGGGCCAAAAGGCATCGTCAACATGACTCGGATGCTTCGCTTCTGGGTCCTTTTCCAGCTGTGCGTTGATGCGGCCAAGTTCCTGAAGCCCCCAGACTTCGGTCATGTAGAACTGATCGCTCTCGCGAAACTCATAATCTGGCCTGTAAGTAGCATTGATGTGCGCAAGAGTGGCTCGAAAGAGGCTGCGAACCTCCTTCACCGGGCCCATGATCGTGCCGCTGTTCAGCCAGCGTGGACGGAGGAAGGCCATGTCGCCCGACTCAGTCAGGGGTCCGAACATTCGGTCATCCATGCCTGGAACCGGCGGGATGGCCCAGCAGCCTGGCCGCCTCTGGTCTGTAGGCCAACATACCTTATCGGCGCCGAAAACAACGTGTCGCCCTAAAGGCCCGGCAACCTCTTCGGCTAGGGCAGGCCCGAGCTGCTGAATGATGCGCTCGTCTTCAGCTGCGACTACTTTGAAGTAGCGCTGTATCAATACTTCGGGTCCGAGCTGTAATTGGACGTCATAACCATCGATCAGGAGGAATAGGTCATCATCAGTGTCTGGGGCCATGTTGTCAAGATGTTCTGACACGACGCGCACTTTTGCCAGGTGTGTCTTGCCAATGTCTTTCTTGTTCGTTGCATTCCATCCTGCAAGAATCGGAGGTCCATATCTGTTTACCGCCGAGGACACGATAGCTCGACACAGCTGCTTGTTGGCAGTGCTAGCCGCGACGTGAAAGTGAAGACGACCAGTCCGTTGGAGAGCTCCGATTTGTGGTGGACGTGACGCGACGCTTGTAGGTCGTTCGAGGAACGGGGTCTCATTCTATGGAACATTGACCGGTCAACTTCAAGATCCCATTTGTTTTCATTACGGTTGAAAAGCAGTGAAGACCTTATCACCAAGGAGTGCTCCTTGGAATGTAGGATGGAGAGTCACATTTGATCGAGTCGGCAAGCTGTACCCGAGACCCAAATCGTCATTCCTGAAGGACGTCGGCCACTGCGGGGAGGCAGTAGCTACTAGTGTGTGACTTTGTTTGTGCACGACGGGGAGGAGTCTGCAAACGTATGATAGATTTCTTACCAAGTTGACACTGCCCGACAAGACAGTCAAGATCACCACCAACGATGAGACTGAAACAAGCGCAAGGGTGAGAAATACCCGCCCTTTGAACTGGCAGAACGCGGTCGAAATGCGCTTTCCCACATCAGCAGCAGAATCCATGGCACGATGTTTTGAATGCGTTATTGTTGATGATTCAGCGTTGGCGAGTGCAAGGAACCTGGCGCAAAAGTGCCATCGGCTCGAACGATAAGTAGATCGTGGTATCAGATTAAAAAGCTTCCACTGTGCCTTACGCACGCAAGGGGGCCTGCAGCCAATACTGCTGTCGTTACCGATGACTTCTGGTCTAGGTACTTATTTTGAGGTGCGGCATCGACTGCAAGGGCACAGGCGTGTCAATGAACGGGAGCTGCCGTTGCTCGACAGCCACCTGAGCAACGATCGAGGGAAATACACAAAACAAAACACAAGACTGGGACCCAGCGCAAAGGTTGCCGCGCTCACGCGTGCAGGGCGATCCACGACTGATGTTCTCTTGGCCAGCTGCCGGGCCGGAGAGAACCAAGTCCCATATTCTGGGCCAGTAAAACATGCGCATCGCTGATAAGCCTCCCCATGTCATCTACATCTGTATACGCGTGTGCACAAGGAGCATCCCATCGTGAGGCCGGGTTGCTACTGATGTCGATGCCGACATGGCAAATGGGTGTCGATGAGCAGGCCAAATCTTATTAGAGATCATGTTGAGGCCTACGAATGCCCTGACAACAGGGCCACTCCAGGCAAACCTTTGATCTGCAACGAGAGTTCGAGCTACGACGCTGAGCGATAGCGAGCTGTCCACACCGAGTCGTAGCGTGCTGATCAGATGTCTGCCGAGACAAGAGGCTGTTTGGCAACTGAAAATGAACTGTCTGTAGAAGCACGTACGTCCAGCGTGATCGGCCATGGGCCCGGCATCTAGGAACACGGGTCGTATCAGGAAGAAGCACGCGAGACGGGGCGTGCGTGGTCCAGACTTTGATGAAGTGTTCTTTTCGGTCTCAGCCTAGATGTTGTCCTGCAGTCTGGCTGTTGTTGGTGCGTGCTGACGGTGACCCGGACTTCTTGTTGTGCGAGATTCCCTCACGGGTCTCGCAACGTGGGAATGGACAAACGCTGCGATGCCTGAAATAGAGTGTACAGTCTCAAAGAGTGTGGACGGAACGCAGCATGTGCGAATGAAGACACGGCGCCATCGATGCACAGGGCGATAGCGGCTCTGGAGATAAGGACCTTACTCAGGGATGGTGAGACCACACGAGGGATTGGCCGTAAGGGTAAAGCGGCAAAGTCGGATGGTAATAAGATATGCCATATGTGTAGCACTCGAGCGGCTCCTCGATCCCGTCCCTCTACAGGGCCGGCTCGGTGGTTGAAGGACCAGTCGCGTGCCTCGCAGCCGCCGATGACGGTTTAGTGACTGCCTGGGCTGTCCTTGCTGCCAGGGTGTGTATAAGCTTAACTTTGCAAGAGTTTGCGTCCAGTGTCATCCCTCCTGCCTACCTACCTATACCTACCTGAGTGTACCCAAGCGTTGACCAGTCGGTTGTCGGGCGGTCGGTGATCTGGCCATGCAGGCTGGCCCATGAAGCATCTCGAGAACGATCGGGTTTCCGCCAGTCGTGATTGTGCCAGATGATCGATCAACTTACAAAGTTGCTGCAGCACGTTTGCTGACAGGCTCGACATGGTGATTTCGGAAGAACGAGGGTTCCATCCCTGTTTGAGCGGCTCCTTCAGAAAATTGGCGTCCGTCTCGAGATTACGCGGCTGCCAAGGGATCCAACAACGCTTTTCACTATTGGCTGTGCGTCTTCCTTCATTCCACCTGCGTCCGGGCCCTCGCATGTACATGGTACTGTGTATGCACAGTGTCGCTCACCGTGTCATCCTGCCGTCTGCCCGCGGATGCATCGCCAGCATCGCCAGCATCCACCTGGAAAGGGTAGTGCCAAACCAAGAGCGGCAAACCGTGCGCCCTGGTGCGGCTGACTAACCTGCGGATTGATTGCCTCCAAGTTAAGCGACACAGCCCCCGTCAAGCTCCCTGAACAGCCCCCAAGCCTGCCGCATTCCGGAACCTCATTCCCCCAGAGCCCGCTAATTCCAGCCAAAGAAGCCAGCGGACGGCGCCAATGTCAGGCACGCCCCATCCCTCCTCCCCCCCCCCCCCCCCCGACACGACACAGTGTGCAGCTGGACTGCAAATCAACAGCCGAAACACCCAGTCACGCCTGCCAAGACTTCAAGCGAGCAAGGTCGACGAAGCCATTCCTTGGCTCGACTCCTTTTCCCTGGGTCTTGCCTGCTTTCTGCTTTCTCGGTCTTGGCCCCCCTTGCTCTTGCTTGCTCTGGCTTGCCGGTCTATACTGTCAATCTGCCTTCCCTTCTGCTTCTCGCCGCTGTCATTCGCTCGCTCTTCACCCACAATCCGATCCATCCTGCCAATCCACCCGACCACCCACCCCACGTCGCCTGCTTCTCAATTCCCAAGGCCCGTGTCTCCCGACCTCCTTTTCTCACGCTGACCCCGAGCTCCGTGTGCTCGTGGCTGGACAAAGTCTTTTTCGTGCAACATTTGGCGCCGCGTTATCCCCCCCCCTCCCGTCACCTTCGTCATTTCGTGCAGTGCATCTGTTGGCTTCGCATCGACACGTTCGGGTCAACGCATGACAGATCCGACCAAACCTACTCGCCTTGACTCCATTTATTTCTAGTCCCAGCAACGGGAGAGCACGATTGTGTCGACAAAGAACGAAGCGAAACCAGCATCCTGCCTCGCTTCCCTTGTCAACCATCCCTTCGCCCTGCAGTCTTTACCTGGGTTTATTCACTTCCTACCTACCGAGTTTCTTCCTCGCTTTCGCTCTTGTTCGGCGAGCAATTTCGCGAACGTCTCATTCCGACGACTGTCGCCGACAGCACTCCTTTCCTTGTCACGATCACCATCGACTCACGACCCTTCTTTGACCCCGGTCAACGACCTCAATAAACGACACGATGAATAGCCAAGACGGCATCAAGCTGGAGGCTCGAAGGAGCGAGGAAGGCCATGGCCTTCTGCACGGCGATGAGAAGCTTGACGGCCGCGACAACTTCGACCTCGAGGCTCGCGCTGGCGCTGTCGACAGCCAGACCGAGAAGCTCAAGGAGAAGCCTGTCGAATACTCCACGTTGCCCCAAGTCAAGTTTGCCTGGCTCAGCGCATACTTCTGCTTCAGCTTGGTCCTCACCTTGTACAACAAGCTGGTCCTCGGCGTGGTACGTGACTGTCCCCTCTCCCCGCCTAGCCCTCTGCGTGTCAAGTTCTCTTGACTCTGCCTTGTCGAAGACAGACCTCCGACCATTCTCCCTATCCCCTTCCGTCGCAATTGTCATGCTGATTTGCAATGCTACTAGTTTCCCTTCCCATGGCTCCTGACAGCCCTGCACGCCACCTGCGCCAGTCTTGGCTGCTACGGCTTGCTGCAGATGGGCTACTTCTCCATGTCCCGCCTCGGCAGACGGGAAAACCTCATCCTGCTGGCCTTCAGCTTGCTTTTCACCATCAACATTGCCGTGTCCAACCTCTCGCTGGCCATGGTCTCTGTGCCCTTCTACCAGGTCCTGCGCACCTCGGTGCCTGTCTTCACCGTTCTCATCTACCGCGTCATCTTCTCCCGAACCTACGAGACCATGACGTACATGACACTTGTGCCTATCATGCTCGGCGCTGCTCTGACCACCATCGGAGAGTACACCTTTACTGATCTCGGCTTCCTCCTCACCTTTGCAGGCGTGATTCTTGCTGCGGTCAAGGTATGCTGCCCTTCGCCTCAATTTTGAAGGACACCCATGGTTGCGACGATTTGCTAACCCGGTATTAGACTGTTGCGACGAACCGCATCATGACTGGCCCTCTTGCCCTTCCCGCCATGGAGGTTCTCCTCCGCATGTCCCCATATGCTGCCATGCAGTCTCTGACCTGCGCGTTTGCCGCCGGCGAGTTCGGTGGCCTTGCTGAGATGCGCGCCCAGGGCAACATCGCCACCTGGACCGTCATCGCTCTCCTCGGAAACGGCATGCTTGCCTTCGGCCTCAACGTTGCCTCGTTCCAGACCAACAAGGTTGCGGGTGCTCTCACCATTAGCGTCTGCGGTAACCTCAAGCAGTGCCTGACAGTTCTCCTCGGCATCATCGCTTTTGGCGTCGAGGTCCACCTCTTCAACGGTGCCGGTATGGTCCTTACCATGTTTGGCGCTGCTTGGTACAGCAAGGTCGAACTCGACCGCAAGAATAGGCAATAGATTTTGCGGCGATATGTTTTGGTGGATGGGATGTAGGCGAACGAGTCACGATTACTCGACCCCGGGCACATAGCCAAGAGGTCAAAAATACACACAGGATGCCCAACAGCGGCATCCGAATCACGCGCCTTTCTTCGAAGCACCACGGCCGACGGCATGGCGCCATATATCAACCGGGACATGAAACGCCAATCGCCGCTACACCAGCAGGCTTAACCCCGGCTTTCTTTCTTCCCAAGTCGTCTTTTCTCTGTAAGACTACAACAGCGGCGGTGCATTTTTTCCTTCTAGAAAGAGAAAACGCAAATACCCTCAGCAATGCAGCGAAACGCAAACGGACTGCTTTTTCTTTTTCCAAAGACGGTGCAAGCAGCATAGGGTAGGTGGTGGATCAGGCAGGGCGACGGGCATCAAGGGGAACTGACAGAGTATCCCTTTCTGGCGTCTTTGGATGATTCGGTTTCTAAATCTTATCAGAGTAGCTCCGATACATAATTGGCCTGACTTTTTCTTTCTCTGTTCAATTCACGACCTCAGTCCCACCGCACCTGTGTAAAGTGAGTCAACGAAGTGGACGAGTTCCTTCTTGGAAGAAGTCCGCGTATAGAAGGACTCCAGCAGGTTTGCGTCAGCCTTGCGGTCCACACGAGGTGCGGTTGTACCTAGAGGAAGCCTCATAGGAGCCTCATCGGAGTTGCATCGACATCGGGACATTTCGAAGGGGGCCGATATGGGAGGTGGCAAATGGTAGCATGCTCGTCGCCTTGTCCTCTGGGCTCACGTCGTGTAGGCAGAGCGTCATTATCGGCAGGAGACGCCAAATGCAGTCTCGAAACTTCGAATGGAGACGACCGGTGTCGACAAGCGCGTTCTGCTTGATTGCATCGTTCGTGGATGGCCCTCCTTTTGGTGCTGGGCTAGGGGAAGTCAAGACGGTTGCCTGGAGCTCTGCCGGAGGTCTGATACGACTTCCAATAAGGTCTTTCTGTGAGTTTGTCTGTGGGCATGGGCATGAGGTAGCTGGTAGGCTGCTGTGTAGGTGATGGTCGATGGCGGGTAGACGTGCCTATCAACGATCCACGACGCTGAGTACCTACCTACCTTAAAGTACCTATCTTACCTACCGTAGGAAGTATCTTAAGTAAGGTATCTAGTTAGGTAGGTAGTAGATACCTCGGTAGGGGAATCGAGCCTCAACGACAGCGCCCTGGCATGGCCAGGTGACGAGGTATACACGTGTGCCTCCCGGAGGAGCATCATACTCTGAGGTGCATCTTCAGGCGCCAATCACGACCAGGGCGTCCCCTATGTTGCCGTTTCCTGATGAGCTGAAAATGGTTGCACTACCCCTCGCAAGGCAACTTCGGCAGCTTCTGCAGCCTTACGCTGCAGAGCTTGCCTCGTGAGCCAGCACCGAGTATAATGACACCGAACCTCGCCCGTCACCACGGACAAACCTACAGCGCACGAAAGCCTCGAGAGAAAACATCAACCATGTCGTCAAGTCAGACGTCGTCCCAGCTGGCAACAGCTTCGCACAACAGGGCTCCATGGACTGGGTCGGGCTGTCGAGCCGCTCCGTTCACTTCACCATGGACGTGCTGAGCCGCTTCATGGCCGCGGGTGTCCAGCCTTTCACCATCGTCGTCGGCCAAGAGGTCGCCCGACACCTCCGCCTCGCCGAGTCCGGCCAACGCAACGTCCAAGACGCCCTCGACCATCTCGCAAGCTACCAGTCAATCGGCAGCGTCTTGTGGTTCGGCTTCGGCCTCCGTGGCCTGGCACGCACCCTGGGCGCCACGGCAGAGGGGAGGAGCCTCCTGGCCCTGTGTGCGGCATTGGGAGAAAGCTTCCATGAAGACTATGCTGCCTCGGTGCCGCATCATCTTGTGCTCGCTTAAACCAACCACCCTCGGGCCTTGTGCCCTCGCTCCATGAGTGGCAACAGCTCGTCAAGGCCTGCAATGGCATTCGGTCGCGGTCCAAATTTCCCATTCTCGTCGATGCCTTTGTCAGGCTCGCTCCTCGCCGAAGGAGGCTCCAGGAGGCTCTGGAGTCGCGCCGCAGCGGCTTCTTTCTCGAAACGGAGCGCCCGTCGCCCAAAGACATGGCCGGGGCCCTCTTGGCTCTTGGGATGCTCAGGCGCGGCCAGTACGAGTTCGTCACCGTTGAAGGAGGTCTCGGGTCGGGCTGGCTCGCGGCCATGGCTGAGTGGATGTACGACCTGGGCGTCGGCATATCAGACGCCCAGGGAAACGCCATCTACAGGTCGCCGGGCCCGGGAGGAGATGTGCGCCCGCACCTGTTGCTCCGCCTGAGCAAGCAGACTGCCGATGTTGCGCACGTCGGGGCGTCTCCCTCGCAGGACCTCACGCTGGCTAGCAAGACCTATCACTTGAGGAAAAAGCTGGGCATCGCGAAGCTGCTGTGCGTTAAAGGGACGCCGTTCAGTGGCGGACGTCTCTCGTGGCACGAGTGCCTCGGGGAAGCCTATGGCCTCGAGTTCGCAGAGCTCATGGGGGCGTCTGATCTTGTCGGCTGCGCCTTTGGCTGCGCAGCTCGCATATTTTCTGGCATCATGGCGTTTGAGCAGCCGGGGATGGACATTTACCACGCCGTGCAGACGCGGAACTATTTCGAAGAATCTGGAGGCCGAAGGTTCATCCGCTTCTCCGTCCGGCGGTTTCCTGAGCTGGCGCCCCTGACACGCCGCAGCTATGAGCAACTGGCCCTGTCTTTCCAGGCTGCTCAGGTCTTGTACATACAGAGCCTGTTCGGCATCAGGAAGCTCTGTGCATGCAACATTTGCTCCGGCAGTGGGTCGCGGCCCAGCTTGGACAGCCTGTGTCTGCTTGCCGTCTTCGAGTCAGTCGTCATTGTGTGCCAGATGCTGTCGGGAATGGAGGTAGCCGACGGCATGGGTCTGAGGAGGGATGGCCTAAAATAGGTGTATCACAACGCCCACAACGCGCTCGTCGACAGTCCGAAGAGGGTCGGCTCGCCGGGACAGGCTCTCCTCCGGCAGACAAGAAACGGCACGCATCATCACCTGCTCCACGCAAGGGCAGCTCGCCGAGAGCGCCATGATGCTCTTTGGTGGCCGCAAAGCGGGCAGCAGCAGCAACGTGAGCGCCCTGTCTTCGGGAGGCGTGTGCGTCTTTTACTCGATTCTCCGGAGACTTCACTTTGGATCGCGAGGCCCTCGGACGTGTGCACGTGGTTGGAGGCCACATCGACTTGGAGGGCACGTTGTATGACCGCATCCAGGATGCCACGGACTCTCCCGTGATTCCCCAACACCATCACGGCTGGCCGTTCTGGGCGGTTTCCCTCGCCGTCACGCAGCGGATCGGGTCCTTGCAAGTCGACTTTGCGCTGGCCGACCAGGCCAGCCTCACCCACGGCACGCCGCTCATCGGGCCCGCGTACCTGGTGGACACTGCGCTGCGGGCGAGGGGCGCCGTGCACTGCTACCGCTCAGCGAGCCGGTGCCAAGATCCGTCCTTTACGACGTGCGCCCGTCCAGGTCGCCTTGGTTTCATGCTCTTCTCCAACGCCTGGGACGTCGTCATCACCAAGACCAATGACTCTAAAGATACTACGACCCGGGGCGGCGGCGGCCCTGTAGACCCGCAGGCTCCCCTCCCGCTCTTGAGCGACGACGGTGACACGCAGACGATGCAGGCTTTCATGCTGGCGCAGTCAGTGCGGTCAGATGTCGCCAAGACCGCCACGCTCGTGACTGCGCGCAGCAAAAACTGCTTGACGGTGCTCTGTGATTACCAGTGTCTCGCGTGTTGCTTTAGCGCTGCCATGTCGAGGGCGAACGACAGGGACTGGTTCGCCATCCTGCCTTGTGACGATGGGTCTACGGCGGGCGTAGCAGACGCTCCTTTGAAGGTTGTCTGAACAGACATGTGTTGTAGTGGTATTCACGAGCGGGAGATGTGGTTGACGAATGTCATGGTTGCAATGTGCACCCCATCGCCATCCCCTCGTTGCAGCGTCTGGCTTTCGGACGAGCTCTGATAAAACAAGAACATACCTAAAATCTATCCTTGAGGGGGGAGGGATCCTTCACACATCTCCTGTTGTTTGTCCCCACCGCCGAGCCGCATCAATAGCGGCGAGGAACTTTGGGGCAAAATCGCAAAACATACAACACCAGGTATTCGCTGGTGGTCACCCACCCAACTACTGATCCGGCCCTTATTGGCTTATTTAGGGGAGAGCGGACGGGATCCCAAGTTTTCCAATAGGTATGGTCGTATGTGGTGGAAGTGCGTGTGAACGTTGACTATGATCGCAAGACTGGAAGGATGCACACAGCTTCCGAGGCCTCTTTCACGTAACGTAGTCTTTACAGCTCTTGCTTTCCTACAATGCTTACCTTCAAGGGAAAATAGGAGGGTAGCTGGTATATTCAATGGACGATACCATTTTGATTGCGATGTAATCCTATACAGTTGCGCTCAAGTGCCATGAGAAAAGGCCCAGATGAGCTCTCAGACCCACACATACACATTGTGAGCATCCGTTAAACCTCGAATTCTCGTGTGAGAAATGTTAGCATTCGAGTACAGTACGAAACTCGAGCACATCTTTCGTTGCTCATCCCCACAGCGCAGAGCCCCTTCCACAGAAACGATTAGTCTCGCGACAAAACGCAAAACATACAACACCAGGGATTCGCCGGTGGTCACCCACCCGACTACTGGTCTGGCCCTCACTGATTTATCGATGGGAGAGCGGACGGGATCCCGAGTTTTCCAGTAGGTATGGTCGTATGTGCTTGGAGAGGCGTGGTCTGTGATTCATGTTGGGTGTGCGGATGTGGTGGCAATGTTGTGGTGGTGATGTTATCATGCTAGTATGGCGTCAAGCATTGCGAACGAGAGACTACCTTGCAGTCCAGGGAATTTTTATGCTCATATCGATCGACTCAATACGAAGAGGTTCGCAGGCGAGGTATATTGTAGTGATTTTCGGATAGCAAGGCTTTGCGACCCTCATACCCGAAAGGATGTCATCTTGCTCCAGCTCTTCCTTTCCAGGATGTTCCCCCAGTGGCCGCTTACAATTCGACAGGAAATGTCGACTGGGTTAAGAGACCCGTATGCTGAAATGAATGCATAGTGTATCTGTTTTCCATGCTGGACTCGACCATGACCATGATTGGCACGGCGATGAGCGTCCAATGAATTGCATCGTCTCAATGGCCTGCAACCACCGATTTCTCAACGATGAGGAGCTGCCGGCTATAACATGTCATGTAGAGCTGGCTTTAGTCTCCAGATTGGAGACGGTGTTGGTGTGAAGGCGACGATTTACACATGCTGGATGCTCACGACTCGAACCGGTAATGATCATGGATTCGAAGGGACAACTCAAACGACCATGTACCACTCGCTTTTGGTGAATATGCACGACTGTTGGTCCTCGTCCTTGCTGTCTTACTCTCAAGCACGTTGAACTTTTGTGTGAGATCAACCGACATCCGACATGTCAGACGTCTCAGCCCTACGAGTTGGCTACGGACAGACGACCCGATGGACACGGAAGGGCCGTGATTGATCTCTGCCACAGAAAGCACATTGGCCGCCGTCAAGTAAACTTGTCAGCTTGACACCTCAAACGAAAAAAAAACAAGTTCCCAGACCAAAGATTCAGGAAGAGAAAAAAAATGAAAGGTGGTGCCTTGCATCAGGATGAACACCATGCACGAACTCGCTTCACGGATCCATGAAGTCAAGTATTTGTTGACAAAACATCCATTTCCGGCCGATAAAACCCGCAGCAGCCGGGCCCCAGCATCAGCGTGACGCGACCTTGACCAACACTGGTGCGCCAAGACGGACTGCGGTCGGCACCGGCTGGTCTGAGGCCGCAAACGGACGCACCAAGAGGAGGCACGGCGATTTCGCCTGGCTTTCCTTTGTTGGCACCCGGCGCTGGACCCGATCCCTCCCTCTGCTCCCTTGCTAGGGGTCACGACGGCGGGGAGGGGGGGGGGCAACGACCTGCGGTCCGCGAAAATGTGCTGGTGAAACAGGCGGCCGCCCCTCATGTCTCACGCGGGGCGGCGGCCGGTAAGGCGAACGGCAAGGAAGAAGCAGCGGGGCCCTCCCCCGGAAATGACGGCGAGACAGAGAACGCCCTGAATCGAGTTCTGTCTCTTTTCTTTTCAGGTCCTGATACGCAGCCAGCAGCGTACTGGCGCCAAGGGAGCAAGAAGAAAAGGTGCCAGGGGCTCATTGTGGAATCGATGGTTGAGCACCCTCCTCGGGGCTTCATTGGCTCTGAGGAAACGCGAAAGGGGGCCAGAAGCCCAAGCTTATGGAAAGGCCGGCTGCTGGCCAAGGAACGGAGGTTTTTGTGTGTGTGAGTGGACGAGGGATTTCCAAGATGTGGTCGCGCCTGGTGGCTGGAGAGGGTGGTGGTCGAAGTAGATCGGTCGATTCAAAGCTCGTATCCGCAGAACAACGTCCGGTGTGCAGAGTGCATGACGCAATGTGACGGTAGCCAGGCGACGATGGGCTGCGGGAGGGCCGACATGGTGTGGGATCAGTCAGCGTACATGAATCTTGGGTTGATAAGGTGAGGTAGGTAGGCAGTGGTAGCGGGGTCAGCGAGAGAGGAGTCGTAGTTGGTGGTGTCAGTGGGTGAGTGGTGGTGTCAGTGGGTGAGTGGTGAGGGCTGAGGGCTGAGGGGCCAGAGTCAACAGAGCCTCTTCGATCGACTGGATGGATGATGTCTTGGGGAGAGGGGAAGTCTCCCGAGGCGACCTACATAGTATGTGGTCCTCCCAACCCAACGAGGCCTCGTGTAGATCGAGGCGGACTGGGATGAGGCCGGGGCGGCGGATGGTGGGTCTCGGCAGAGGAGCTAAGCGATCACGACGAGAGCGACAGGGGCCGTGAGTCGACGCTGGTGGTGGTGCTTTAGTCTTTGATCGAGTTGCAATTGACAAGACCTGATAGACTAAGGCCACGAAGCATCACAATGCATCCCCCTCCAGCCCATCAATGAGCATGTCCTAAAGTCCTAAAGCGGCGATGGATACTGGCCAGCGTGTGGAGTGGCTGGTGCAAAGTAAAGCGGGTAGGAGGGCGCTAAAATCTGTGGCTAGCTTAGCGTGTCAAGTCCCAAGCGGGCAGCAGCAGGCCGTGGCCCACTCGCCCAACGCGTGCCGCCAACCCCCCAACAATCGCTGTCGTCTTTCTGGTTGTCAACATGCCGCCATCAACACCCAACGACAATCCCTCCATCCATCACTCCATCCATCCTCCCACGCTCCAACCAACCCCCGCCCCCTTGGCCTCGCATCCCGACCCCGCGATCCGGATTTCAAGCTACCTTACCACGCCATGACGTCGTACATGTACACCGAAACGATGCCCCCCAAATTCTCCTTCGTAAAGGACGAGCTCAACCATGGCCCGACCACCAAATCACCTCTAAGGACAAGCTTGTTTTCAGAGTTTGTGCTATCTGGTCCAGGACCGCCATCGCCCTTAGTGGACACTGGGAAAACAGTACCCCTTGCTGCCCGCATGACGCTGTGCTACCCGGGCGACTGCACCTCACCAGCGCTGGCACTGGCGCCATCGTCAACACGAGCTTTTCTTCACCTGCTCCCCATCCCCCCCTGCCCTGAGCTGCAAGTTCATGCTGAGCTGCAAGCTCGTGCTCTCCGTCATCCAACATCAACCCCGGCCAGCGATCAGCGACGGCAGAGAACATGGGGGAGAAGCCAGCTGACCATGCGGCCGAACCTCTCCGCCTGCTCGCCGGTCCACAACCAAGCAGAACTCAGGTTCGAGCCCTGGCGCCTCCCGCAGTGGTCTTCCAGCCATCCAATACCCACTTGCATGATAAAAGCATGGCAGTCGAACCGCCCGGCTCACGCGTCCCCACGGGAACATGAGAGGGAGAGGGGATGTGGTCAGCCAGGTTTGCACCATCCCAGCCAGAACAAGCGTGCTGCTGTCCCTCGCTGTCCCCTGCTGTCCCTGAAATTTCGCCTTGCTTTTCTGACTGAAGCAGGGGGTTTCTGGGTTTCTAGGGCTGCCACGCCCAGGGGAAAACAAAGGAGGCCCCTTGTCGCTGGGCTGGCTTGACATGCATGTCTCGGTTTTTGCCAACACGGCGTCAGGCACAGGCAACCCGACGGACGTGTTTATTGTTTTCCCACCCTTGACAGCAGTTCATCGTGATGGGAAAACTGCTTTTCTGTAAACCAAAGAGAAGAGTGGACTATGCACCGACGATTCCGACCTCGACCTCGATTTCGACCTCGACCTCGATTCCGCCCCGCTCGTGTGCTAGAAAAGGCGGTCCGTTGGCATACATGTACATGGTCCTTGCTCCAGTCGACAAAGTCGATCCTGAAGATCGCGACTAGCAGGGCAACCCCTGGAAGACAACTCATAGTGGCCCGACTCGGATCTACGGCCACAAGTTGGGCTGGCACGGACTCTGGCACTGACAACATCCAGTGCGTCAGCATGGCGTGCGGTTCAACACAACATTGTGCCTTCCTTGCCCTCTCTCACCCAGCGCCATCCGCTCAACGTCGTACAGCCTGAGATGCATCCTCGAATCTTGTGCAAGCCGGCTGTACGCCCCGGGTGCCACCGAAGGGGCAGTCGTCGAGGGAGCAACGCCGCAACAGTCCTCGCAAGTCGATTGGCCTGGCGACGCAACCCAAAAGCAACCTTTTTCTCACCCCAAAGAAAGCTCTAGTACCTAGTACAGCGCCAAGGACTCAGACACGAGGTCTACCCTCCTTTGCTGTACGCCGTAGCGGCCCTTGCTGCCCCTTCTCAGAAAGAGAGGCGTTTCTTCTGCCGACTTCGCTTTTCCGCAGCATGAGCAGCATTGACTTTCCGGCTACTCAGGGACCGGCCGCACTAGCTGCCCCCTGCGACCACTTTGTCCCGAAGCCCATGATGATGTCCTGACGGAGAGCCCTTGACTAGGACGGCGGTTTCCTCCACCCTACGGATCACGCCAACCCCCCCCGCCAACCTCCGATATCGACATCAACTTTCGTTCGTCTGGCCCGTTGGTCTTGTCTTGGATGATTCCTGGGCCCCGACGCAGCCAATCATGCTGGCTATTCTCACCTCTATCGATTATCGGAAAGACATGTATTTCGTCTGTGCTCTCCCATCTACTCAACTCTTGACCGAGAGTGGTCTGGATTAGGGCATAGACATGAAGCCATGCACGCCGGCCATGCCGTCTACGTATGCCATGCTGCCCTTGATTGAACACTTAATCGCATGTCGTCGTGATAGGGCCTTCCCAACCCCCTGTCACCTGTCGTCTGTGTTGTCTTACCAAACCTTGGCCCAAGCTCGTCTCTTGCTCGCCCTTTGACCTGCGTTCAGCGCCACAGTGACCGTTCGCCTGCCCTTTGCCGGTTTCCTTGGGTACCTTACCCAGGGAGTCCTGACGCCTTTTCACTACACCGGGTGACCTCAGACGAAGGAGCACGGCTGGACACGGGCTTTGTCCGGAAAAAGCACAAACTATGTCCAGGTCCGCCCCTGTTGCCCGTGGCATCCTCCCCGCAACTTATACCCACGTCGTGTCACACCCCTTGGCAGGTGTACCATGTCTTGGTAGCCCTTGGCCTCATCCACAGACTGTGACGACTCGGACTCGAGACCCATCCACCTAGCTGCGTCCATGGACAAGTGGTCATCGGCATCGACTAATGCATGCGCTTGTGGGGATCGGAGGCTAAACGACCAGCGCGGTCGGCAAGAGCTGGGCCATGGCACATCATCACACCTTTTCTTCGTGCGATCGGGCGTACTGTCTGTCTGTCTGATGCAAGCAGGGAGCATGGCGTTCAGCCCTCGGAAGGAGATATAAGCTTACCGGCCATCCTCCTCCTTTGCCCTGACGCCGTTCTCACCAGCCTCTCTCAAGTCTTCCTCTGCCAACCTCCTCGTCTGCCTCGCTGCTCCCAAGTAACTCCTTCGCTAAGGTTACTTAAGGACCCTCGTTCGATCGGTGCTATCCCACAGAACCCCCTCGTTCACAAGACAGAAACCTCACTCGCTCTCCTCCCAACGCTCAAGATGAAGTTCTCCCTCGCCGTCTTGGCCCTGGCTGGTGTTGTCGCCGCCGGCGACTATCCCGCTCCTGACCCCCCGGTCTATGAGCCTCCCAAGGACCACTATCCTGCTCCTTCTGCCCCTCCCGTCTACGAGCCTCCTGCCGAGTCTCACTCCGTCTACGAGCCTCCCAAGGAGTCGTACCCTCCCGTCGAGCCTCCTAAGGAGTCGTACCCTCCCGTCGAGCCTCCCAAGGAGTCCCACCCCGTCTATGAGCCTCCCAAGGAGTCCCACCCCGTCTATGAGCCTCCCAAGGAGATCCCACCCTGTCTATGAGCCTCCCAAGGAGTCCCACCCCGTCTACGAGCCTCCCAAGGAGTCCCACCCCCCTCCTCCCCCTCACGAGTACCCTCCCCCCGAGCATGTCACGGTCACTACCGAATACGAGATCACTATCACCTCGCTCTGCACCACGACCGAGACCATCACCGAGCACGGCACAACCTACTACAACACGTGAGTCTATCT